GATACATCCATGGCGTTTTGACAATAATGAAAATCGACACGTGTTCACAGCCTACCGACGATTTTCCAAATTGCCTCATGCTTAGTGTCTTTCTAGGGAAAAAGAGAAATACGTGTTAGAAATTGGATTGTGATTTGTTGATAGGATCTAAATACACACACTAGCCTAGTGAGCTTACGCTTTTGTATACCGCCTTGCTTCCTATAGTAGCGGTTTTGATTCTCGCTTGTTGCAATTGTATGATTGTTTGTGTTGGACTGATTATATTCTATATAATATAAAATACCTCAGTAATATTTTTATTTAATATAAAATGAATTTCTAACGGTGATCTAGTACGTACTCATAAGCACTCTTTAGCTTAGGAATAGATGACAAAACTGTATATAGAGCTAGAGTAGAAAACGTAGTAATTTTACCAACTTCAAAAGGAGAAGTAGTATTACCCATTTATTTACGTTACAACATAGTAAGTCAAGGTAGTATCATAATATAATATCTATATCTATATATATAACCATATCTTCATTAAATAAGATGTACTTAATGAAATTAATGACTCGACAATTCACACAGGGCCATTTGGTCCTAAACTAAGTTAAGATTATATAATGGGTATAAAACAACAGATGAACTTAACAACTTAAATAAAGGATTTCTATAGTAATTGAACGTGGAAACTTATTGCCTGCTTATGTTATGGAAACCTTTGGGCCTGGTATCGAGTTGTTTTGTTTTTTAAAATAATAATTATATAATGAAAACACTAAAATATAGTAGTATAATCATAAAAACAAATATGGAACTAGTGACTATCAGCAAGAAACGCAGTGTGTTAAACCGCTATCAGTCGTCAAATATAAAAAACGTGCACCACGGAACAATAACAATAAAAATTCCTCAGTTGTAATATCGTAGTTATTGACTATAAGTCTAATTTCCAGGTCACAGCTTTTCCGATTGACATAACCTCTAAACATAGATGAAGGAATAATAATCCTATAAGCGTTATAACTGCGTATTTCTCCGCCTAAATTCTGTAGCTATTAAAAAATAATGGTTATGTACATAGAAATGTCAAGATACATTATGAACATCAAGTTACTTTGAAATAATAATATACCGTCACGTACCTAAATGGTGTATAGTGACAGAACAAAATGATCTTTTGGTCTGTGAGTATAGTGAACTCGCTGGGTAGATAGGTATATGATTTTTTTAATGGAAGACACCTATAGGATGGAGGGTGCTACAACCACGCCTGCACTAACGGCTTACGCTGGCGGGGCACCAATAAAGGAATATTAGATGAACCGGTTACCTGACATGGGGTTTTCAGTCCACATTACAAACAATCCCCTTATGCTGGGTATACATATATTGACTGCAACGTAGCAGTGGACATGTTCATCGAAACGTGTGAATACGAACTACCAACTAGCACTAGTTTATTAGGGTGAAATATTAAATACACGGTGGCGTTTTCCATCAGGTCAGGGAGGTTAAAAATATGAAATTGACATAATTGGCACACATAGACTTTGTTTTTTATTCGATCTGCCCAGAGACTATCTACTTTTTCTGTAAACACGAAAATTTTATATTTGACATTTGACTAATGTATTGGACATAAACGCATAGCAAACTAAACAATCACTAAATTGTACATCATGTAGAACAAATTACTTCCACTATACAAAATGTAATCATGAACAAATTTCGTATTAGTAAAGGAATTTCTTGTCAGGATGAATAAGTGTTCAAAAGTGAAGAACCCGTGCAAAATATGCCTGCAAAGTGTCACCAACAAAACAGGGTTACAATGCAAAGGTGCTTGCAAAAAGTGGGCCCATTACACTTGTCTAAATTTCACTCCTGGTAAAATTAAAGACATAAAAGCCGGTATCATCAAAGTCACCTGTCCTTGTCCTAATTGCAATACATTAGGACCAAAAGAGGAGTTGACCGATCCCCCATTCACGTGTTCAAATAAGGATTGTCCAGCGAACCAACCAAACCCTATTTGCGCCGCTGATAATTGCCCAAGTAAACGTGACCTTTGTGCATCGGAAAAACCGCCGCGTCCCCCAACACCGAGAGCTTGCAAACCGGCTCCTAATTCTCCCGCTCCACTGGACCAACCTCTAAGTAAACTCCCAACTTCACGTAAGCCTCATCCGTCCTTCAGATACATTACAACCTCCTTCGTCTGCCCCACCTCTAACTAAGCCCATTCCAGCTCTATTACCATCAAGCTCACCACAAAAATCGCTCCAAATGAAACCATCTCCCCCAAAAGGTTTGAAACCTGCACAACAGTCAAAAGTACAGTCTCTTAAATCTTGCAGCTCACAACCTTCAAAAGCATCGTCATGTTCCTGTATAATCTGTGGTAATAGGGGTTCGTTCTTGATTTTTATGTAGTCTAGAATCTAGATAATAACTTAACTAACGATAGAATGTCGTAGTCAATATGTGGCGTATTTTAGGTAGATATATACCTACCATCCGTTTACCAATTACAGTACCTAGTCGTGAGTTTGATGTTTGGTGATATTAAATGACCGTCTAAATTCAAAGTATTGCTATTTTCTAAATTTGCAGTCTTCACGAGTTCGAAAAACAGCAAAAATAGTGTAGGGCTGGGTTTATACTATATTCATCCATATAAAAAAAGTTCCTTAAGTTTTTAACAAAAGATGTAGATGGACATCTTCAAACTTCTGTTTGTAGACCGCGTGGAGGTCAACCTGACGTAGTACATTGCTAGCAATCTGGTTATCGGCCCCCTCATTACTAATCCCCTTGCCCCCTCATTACATTAGTTTAATCTTTGTTTTCAGATAACACACAAAAAACCAGTACACGACCATCGCACTCAGATTCAACCATAAAATCAGCTAAGGAAAATCAAAAGGTATTGCTTCATGCTATTGAACAGCTCTGCGGAACTGTGGGTCAACTGTCCACACAGATCAAGGAATTGATGTGCAAGATGTTGGCTAACCTGGACAACAATGCTTAGAATATAATAAATCTGTTTCTATAACTGTGAACATTAGTAGAAGTGCATAAACATTTGTTAAATAATGTTAAGCTAAGTTTATAAAAAGATAATTTTACTAAAATGTTCTGAATATAAGTTATTCTCATTGCAAAATAGGTGGTAATTTTTGTGAGGGGATATTGACAACGTAAATAGGTACTGAGTGTAACATAAAGATAAATATACCTAATAAATATAATTCGAAAGTACATATATTGTCTTGTAACAATAACAAAATGGATTGGTTGGTTAATTTGGGATGGAAAAAAACAGAGAATTGAATTTAAATGCGAAAGAGCAAGGTCTATTATTTAAATAGGTACCTACTATCTCAGAAACACGTACCTATACCAATACCTACATACATGAACAGCATCACTGGTATCACTTTATATTACTCAAAGGTATGAAAGTCCAAAAAATATACGAATAATTAAAAAACAACATATATAAATTTTAATAATAATAATATATAATTACTTATAAATAATTTCTAATCTAGATCTACTTTCATTTTCACAACACTGGCTACTCTCACAGTCACACTCGATCCCACACAGATGGAATACATACGCGCACAGTGTGAAGCAAAATATACATCGTAGACTCCCACAGAAATTACAGCAACACATAATACCGCCTTTACTATAAGTCCAATTACTCTTGATAAGCCCATCCGATCTCACGGTCCAAAAACATATTGTACCTATCATATATTTCCACCATTTGCTTCATAAACTGTTTATGACAACAACAATAGATTCGCAATCTCTTGTTTATAAGTGTACCAAATTGCGTATACATACGCAAAATAAATAAAATCATTAACAGCGTATGTCTCGGAACTGATTCCATAGCATTGAAAAGATGTTATATATAAAAGTACATCATGCAATGTCGATAGAGTACCAATAGCATCTTCAATAAATCCGAAAATATTCCTGGTAATACGTATAATTAGTAAATATCACGGGATCTTACCACGTTTTATATTTATTTGCCGAGTTCCCGATATTTTGGCAGTGTTTCAACCACCATGATCACGGGTAAGCTGAAGAGCAGCGGGTAGATGGAAAATGAAATCTTTTATGGGCAGACATATGCGTCTACCTTCACACGTCTTCGTTTGTCTCGGCAAACTGTACTCACAGTATCTTCACGTACATTTAATACACTATTCGATCGCGTTTTTTGTTTGTTTAATTAACCCAATCACTGGATTCCAGGCATTAGAGAGTCTAACCGTCTTCTCGATTGAACTTTTTATTTTTCTGTATTAAATGGCTTCTCTAACCATTCTTGGAATATTATGCCGCTCTGATGTTAATACTTTTGGTTGGTGTACAAAAAGAACAATAGCGTCGCATTGCTGAACATATAAAAGCTGTTAAAAACAATGATCCACGTAAATCAGCCATAGCGGAACACTTGTTGGGATCGGGACCCAATCACTGGATTGAACTACACCAACCAAAAGTATTAACACCAGAGCGGCATTATATCCCAAGAATGCTTTACCCGTGATCATGGTGGTTGAAACACTGCCGAAATATCGGGAACTTAGCAAATAAATATAAACCGTGATTTTTACTAATTATGCGTATAAATAATGACGCGTCAAATTTAAAACAGTATATTCCCAGTAATCTTGAAAAATTAGGATGTTTTGTCATAGCAGCCTACTAAAGTTTGTTGACACTTACGATATTGACAGGTGTCTTTATAAACAAAATACTATAATTTTTTGTACCTAAACGAGTCGAGTGATATATTTATTTAATCTAAAGTATAGGACATACAGAACTAAACTCAACTCCATTACCATAACATAACTTTTTGCTACTTTATCTTTTTATACAACGGGTAGAGAAACAATTTGCACAGTTTAACGAATTTTATTTATAATAAATATTAAACATAATTCATTAATATACTTTTAATAATATGAGTTATAGACCATATCAGTCTTTATTTATTTTTATAACAAATAGTTGCAAAATATAAAAATTGTTTTTTATATACATATTACTTTTCCTTAATACAGGTAAGTATTGTATATTTTGATTTCATAATAACCATGTTCTTATGTAATTAAGTAAAAACAATACAACAGACAAAATAAATAAATAAATAGTCAATCGGATTACCACGAGTTCCTATAAGTCTATAGAAGCCCATGAATTTACCAACGACAGCTGCTGGGGATTGCCACTTCATCCACTATTAGTTCTATACTAGTTTTTCCATTTGATAGACTGAAACAATATAATAATAATTATGAAATTAAGTATAAGATTTAAATATCTTGAATTAGAGTTTATTTTAAAGTGCAAGAAAGAAGATTCCCAGCAGTGTTTCTGGAAACTCCTGAAAACGGTGAAGGTCTAGGTTGGTCAATCTTTACCCCACAATGGCAACTGAATTCTTAAACCCAGCTCTGCATGTGAAAGTTGTCGAAAATTTCTAAGAAGAAGTGGTAGGTATATGTAACTCTATTGACATATTTGTCATACCCACACTTCGCTCAGTCCAAGTTCGAATATCTTCATCAACCTTCCGCCGGCAGACAGATTAATTTAGTTTGTTATCAGTATTTGTATCACCGGAGAGTCAATCAAAAATTATAATTGACGACGAATTAATTTGTTGGTACTGATATAATTTGTATCACGACTATTCAGTACTAAGTCGCAGTAGTTCGCGCAACCAGTGCATGAAAAAAATTAATTATAATACATACCATATCCCTCAGGGTATTTTCAGCTAATATGTATTCTTCAGACTGTGGATTGAGCGTCATCTTGTAACCCGTTAATGCTATCCTATCTTTTTGCTTGGCAAATATCTCAATAACGACAGAATGTATCTGTAATTAATCAAAATTAAAAATTAAAAAATAGATTTAATTGATACTAGTGAACACTATTTATAAAAGAAATGGCACAATTTTTGTTTGATACTCAGCTCCTATTGACCGTCGGTATTTATCGAGGCAGGCTATATAGACTCGCGGTCTATATAGCCTGTCTCGATAAATACCTATGCAACCCCAAAATAATTTTTAAATTTCAACCAGTAATTCTTGAGATCATTGCGGTCAACCAAGCAAATTGTATACATTAAATGTTGGTCTATGATTTAGTGAACCTATTAATAATAAATTTTAAAGGAACTAAAGCGTAAATATTTGCAAAAGTACCTGATACAAGACACCTGAAAATAAACTAAATTATTTTCTTATTTTGATAATTTTACCTTATACATCTGAGCCAATCTCAGTCTATCGTCCGCACCGGCCACTTTGTTCACGCACGTGGCCATAAGTCTCGAACTAGCTTGTAACTCGCTCAATCGGCCTAGTAAAGTTTCTATTGGAATATGCGACGATACTGTGGTTCGGCCTAGCCAATCCTAAAAAAAATATATGTTTATATATATATGTATTTAACATATATATATTTTGTTAAAGAATAGAATATTTAGTCCTACTTATTTTATTAATATACCGCTCATTCGGAAGCTGTCTCATCACAAGAATAACGAGTAAGAAATTTACATTTTGCTTTTTTAAATAATACAATTGTAAGTTTGCATTTTTTTGTTGAATTGAAACTACCAACCAGCGTTAATTAAATACACAACCAACTAGTTGAGTAACTAATTAGGAGTAAATCGGTCGTAGTGATTAGAGCAGACCAGTCCCTACAAATACTCATTCACGAGTATGTCGAATGACTGATGATATGACATAAATAATCTTAGACCAAAGTAGACTTTATAAAAAATGCATGGAGTAGTCCGCCAAGCAGCTTGCTTTATAAGCTGTGTTCCGTTGAAAAAGCAATGAAGTAATAGGATAGGATATTGTATTGTGTGTTTGTGTATAGCATTGTACTGAATTATAATGCCCGAAATACCTTTTTCGTAAATAGTGACTCGACCACATCCCATTTGTGTAATTTTGCATGTACATTCAGCACAACCCAGTCATACTGTAGTGGAGTGATCTGAAATAATTGAAATATAAATTAATTTCTTAAATATTCATAATAATTTTAAAAACATGACAATTTAACTTTAATAATATACCCGCTGTTATCCACGACTTAGTACGCGTGGAATTTAACTTAATTTTTATTAAAATAAATTAAATTTCTAAAATAGAAATAGTTATTTCTTATAACATTTTTAATTAGTATATTGTAAATTCATTAACTGTCTGCGACTGAAAGACCCATCAAAATAGGTCTAGCTGTTTCAGAGATTAGCAAGAACAAACAGAAAGATGACGATTTTCTTTAATAAATTTTTGATGCAAGGTCTGTATATACTTTCATATGGATTTAGTGACACTTTTATTTTATTTATTTATCTATACAGCTATTTAAGAAGAATTGGAATTATATCTTTATGTAATTCCAAATCTTCATAAAAGGCTGGACGAATTTGGATGAAAATCTTTCAAGACGACGTCTTTCAAGTTGCTATTATAGTACTTTTCTATTACACTTTCCATTGCCTTTGGCTGCACCAACAGTCCCACACACATTAAAGATTGCATTGTATATCCCACATAATTAACGAATTGTGAACCGTGTGTTATCTAGATGAATAAATATCCGTCTAAAGAAATAAGTCATGGCATGAGTAATGCATATACCTGTTGCCGCTGACAGACAGTCATTGGAGACATCATATTACCAGCTGTCTCGTGCCAGTGGTGGGTACAGCAATATGCCAGGCAGTATAACGGCGACATATTGTTCAGTTCTTGTTTGTTGACATATTTCTGCCATTCTGTAACATAAAATATCTCAATTCAATATTGAAATGTGATGTAATGCATAATTTTGATTATTACTAACTAATTTTAAACTTTTTTATTCGTATAAAAAAAAATTAAATTTGTAATTCACGTTGAATAATAAAATATATAATATACTATACTAATGTTAGAAATTCCAAACCTTATCTGTTTGTTACCTAAAGTGCTACACAGATCTTAATGATAAATTGTAATCCGAGAAAGCACATCAACTGTCTTTTATATAAAAAAAATCTGACGAAATCGCGGGTAACTGTCAGTATAATATAAATACAAAGTATACCAAATACTAGAACTTGAAATAAGACACTGTAGTCTCATTATAGTTTATCTAAATTATAGGGTCATAGGCCTTCATTAAATCAATAAGTAATATTACAAATTACTGTCACCTAGGATAATTTGATAATGTTACATACCTTAAAATGTATGTAACATTATCAAATTATCCTAATCGGAATATTAGAAATATTACAAAATTATTGTAATTTTAGTGTTAATAATACAAGCCGTAAACAGTAGTGGTATGCGGTCAGATTCCACAGTATTGCCAATTAATAATAATAATAATAACCCTGGACAAGTAACATTACATACAAATAACAATTAACATCTACACCCATGCTAGGCAGAGCTTCTGCTACGGCTATTAAACAACTAATAGAAATGTTTAAATACTGTGCTAAACCTATACGACCGAGATGGTAAATTAAGGAATAAAAAAGTCATAGTACCTAATAGTTTAACATAATCAGCGACTAATTTTGACTGTTGTGCATCCACAGCGGGCTGGTTGAAATAATTCGCTAACAAGTTTGACATTTTCCTTATTAAGCCGTCAACGTTGTTGCCTTGAGTCTTCACGTAATGTTGGAATTGGTAAATCTGTAATGGATAATATTAATATTTAACATAAGAGGTATACTTTATACTTATACTCTGAAATAAATAAATATTTTTATATAACATAAGGAATCCATTGTTTTACAGTAATAGTAACAAAATGGCAGGGTTACTTGCATCAAGGAGTGTTGTAAAAACTTAGTTACTTACTGCAGCTTCTGAACTCCTTCCCAGCATTCTGTAATCAAAATTTATAATGGTAAGATATATATTTTTATAAATAAAATTAACTTGCAAAGGAGTAAAACTACTTGTAACTGCTTAAAACACTTAATGAACAAAAGAATAAACAGTGCAATATATTTAATACTATACAGCAATGGTATTATTTTATTAAAAAAAATATTTTATCATGTAGTTATTGCTATATTCTGTTAGAGACAGAAATAAACATTACAACACTATACTGCAGGACTAAGATGTTATGGTGACATAACATCTTAGTCCTGCAGTATAACAATGCATGATTGTACTACATTGTTTTCAGACTACTCTAATGTTGTTGGCCGCAGCTGGCCTTTATGGCTTCACTGGATGATACGTTGTACTACTGGTGTCATAATGATGACGTGATATCCGTGGCGCTCTTTAAGTTTATTGCCACTTAGCACAATAAGTTTTATAAAATAATGTTTTTTAATTTAATGTGTGTCAGAAAATATATATGAATACTTAATGTTACTTAATATCCATATATACTTAAATTTATCGAATTCCAAAATACTTACGTAAGTAAATCTGTCAATTCAGTGACCTTCCCCTCATTTTGCAAGAAACTTATATAGTGATTCAAAGCTAATGGGCGAGAAGATAGTAATTCATATACTAATTTTTTGTTCAGAGTCTGGATTAAAAACAGTACTACCTGAAAAAAACAATATTAAACTAGAAAACACTAACACCAAGAAATAATGAATAAACTTAATTTAATTAAACTCATTATTATTACACAATTAGATTCATGATTTGAATTTGTCAAAACTTTGTAGTTTGGTGAGGATGAATTTAATTATCTGCAATTGTCAAAAGTTTACTCATCGGTCAATTCTAGCCATGTAGGCCCAATATCAATAGTTTAGTTGGCTGCTTTAGTTAAGAATTCTACAAAAAGCTACCTTAATATCCAAGAAATAAAATAAAATTAATGACAGGGATGTAAATCACACCACACCACACCACATAAAACAAAGAATCAAAATTGGTGCAAAATTGGACATCATCCTAACCATCCATCATCCTAACATTCTAACCACCTAGGTGACTTCATTTGAATGATAGCATATGTCTTCCTTTATGTATGTTCACATTTCAATTCAATAAAGATTGTGTGAAAGTAACTACTTATATTACTAATATTAAGAAACGTGAAAAATTCAACAGAATAAATTTTACTGCATGTTTTGTGTCCTCATTATGATCTCATTTCTAATTTAGTTTAAGTTATATACATACACTCAGTATTGCATTCCCATCACCAATGGCAATTGCACCATCAAGTAACTCCTTTTTGCTCTTAATACTTCTATGGACATGTAGGGTACAGCTCCGCCCAAGAACCAATCTCTTGAGTGTCACCGCAACAGTTTCTTCAGATTCCAACTTCGTTACTTTATTTGGGTCTTTTCCAGATTGAGCTAGAAGGACTGAAATACAATTATAACTTAGATTTTACATTAAAGCACAATACAATACTATAACAAAATATTTTTATTTTTAGCATAATTAATGCATTTTAATGAAAGGCTTTGGTAATTTATAGAACACTATCTGACATTGCAAACATTGTTTTGTCATATAACTGAAAATTGCTATTAAAAATAGGGGTTGATGAAGATTTTGGTTTGTATGTATTTTTTAATGCCACATGAATGCATATAAAATTTCAGAAAAATTGGTCAAGCCATTACTGAGGAGTATGGTAACTAACATTGTGACACAAGAATTTTATATATAAGAAAATTAACCTTATATAAACTACCAGCTGTTTATCCGCAACATCATATGCATATAAATGTGACGCAATCTCTATCCAAGTCAAATTTCATTATGATTCATCATTGCCTTGCCTTTATCCCATTATTCGGGGTTGGTGCAGTATGTCATTCTCTTCCAATTCATTATGATTATATGATTTATTTAGCTATTTAATCATGAAAAGGTAACAGGCATACTTTTGAATTTATATTTGTATGGGTACATATCATTTTAAAGTATTAGGATTTTTTTAGACATATGACCAAGTCAAATGTATCTTGAAGTACAAATAACTGTGAGAAAAAACAAATCAAATTCTTTGAAATAATAATAAAAAAGAAATAAATATAGAAATATTAGGGATAATAAATTAAAAATTTAAACTTACTTAAATCTAGTACTTTAGGTGATACAAGACTGGACAACGGCAATAGCACACTCTTCACGTTACTGTTAGTGAAAATGCTATCTTCAGTTTTACCTATTGATGGTGTTTGACCAATTGCTATAATCTCTTGAGCTGATAACTGGAAAATGAATGACAACATTCATAAAAAAAATTAAAAAAAAATGTAAAATTTACTTCATTTCCTATAAACAAATTAATAAAAACAACTAGACATGAACTTGAATATATATTTAAAGATCTGGGGAATCTTCGATAAGACAGAAATAAATAAATAAAAAGAAAGAACATACAACATCATCGTCGAAACTCAGTGCCTGCGCTTTTGTTTCACTTGTATTCCAGTAATCATCGTCATCCATTATTGAATAAAAGTATTAAAATCGAATGTTTATCAGACTACATGAAATGAGACTTGTTATTACAAGAAATTAGAATTTTAATATTTTATAGTTATTTATTGTAAGTAAACAATGCAAACACGACATCAAAATATTGTGTACCAGCTGTCAGTCTAGTCTGGGCAGTCAGTTCGATGAAATGTTCGATGATGAAAAGACATGATTAATCGATTGACGGAAGAGTAGGTACTAACCAAATGACGTCAGTAACAAAACTCATCTTTTTTTTTTGCACTGGTTCTGGCAATATTTTGTGTATTTTTTTGTGGTATATCTTGAGTAATAGTATAATTCTTAGATTTCTTAGTTCGATATTAAGCACCCGGGTGCGGTTAGTTGACAAAATTATGGCGGCGTGCAACAGTAGAGGTTGAGCTGTCAGCCGACCACACAACTTTTGAAATAACTTCTTAATGTAGGTACCTGCAAGTGGAGCACTTGTATGGCAATTCAAATTTTCAATTAACTCTCCAGTGATCAATTACACCAAGTAACTAAGTAGGTTTTTTACGATATTAAAGAGAAGAAAATTAATGAAGCACTAAAAAATAACACATATTTAGGTGAAGGAGAATAATGATCTTACTGCTAACAATGTACTATGTCAAGTTGACCTCCCCGCGGTTCTCCCTGGAAACCATCGAGATAAATTCTTGGTGAATTTGCCACGCTGGGCTAACTGACCTGACCTTATGCTCATCTTATCATCTTCCACTGGTGCCCCGCCAGCGTAAACCGTTAGCGAAGTTGGGAACACCATTCCATTATCATCCATAAAAAATAGTATCTACATAATACTGAGTACTAACAATCAAGTCGTTAGTTCAATTTGACGTCATCTTCCACTGATGTCACGCCAAAGTACAGTGTTAGTGCAGGCGAGTTACTATAATATAATCATTCCTAATAAGATAGATATAGTGTGGACCTGCTAGAATGTAACATATACCTACAAATGCTCTATAACAGTAACAGTTTAATATGAAAGTCATTAACATCCACGCAAAACAAAATGTGTATACAAACGTATTGAAATAGGTTCAAACTTTATTATTTCAATATGTATTTATTAGGGCTATTAACAAATCCTAACTTACATCACACAACATCTTACTTATAAAAAACTAAAGTGAGATAGCACACTATAACGCATTTTTAATTTGAAAACACTACCGTTCCTCATAAGAATTTTAATTCTAAATACCATCTACGTTCTTGACTTTATCTCTCCTATAGGTACCAAGTTAAGAAAAAGCCCCAGACATTTTGATATATGTAATGAAAAAGAAAAAGAAACAGAAGTTGCTGAAGAACAAGAAATATCAGTAAATAAGAAGCGCCAAGACGATGAATCAATAATTAGGTAAAGAAAATAAAGAAAACCAATAAATATTAGGAAAAACGTTGTAATAATTGGTGATCAACAAGTAGCTGGTTTAGCATTGGAACTTCTCAGAACTCGGAAAAACAAATGGAAAAATGACTATGATGTATCCGCATATGTAAAGCCTAACGAACAAAGTTCTGATATATTAAATACATGTCAAAATATGATTTCAGAATTGAATGATAACAACAGAGTTGTTCTGTCAGTAGGATCAAATGATAAAAATCCTATAGAATTACTCAATAACTTAACGTGAAAATGAAATACTATGAGATATACAAAGGTGTATATTTTACAGGTTCTCAAAAGCTCACATTTAAATAATAATCTATTAAATTACCATATTAATACATTAATACTTAATTATACAAATTGTAAATACATTTATTACAAAGGTAATTATTCATATACTAACCAAAATCTAATACGAAATAACTTCTGCAAATATATAAACTTCGAAATAGATATGAATGACTACAAAGATAAATTTTTGACTAGAATATACAGAAACCCTCAATTAAGTAATAAAACAAAAAATATTAGCAATGATATCTACAAAAAAGGTACTATACCGTACTATTTTAATTTAATGACAAATAAAAATAAATTTGCGAACGTAGTACAACCATTTTTTCGGGGAGGAATTTCATCAAGTTACAATTTTTCATCAAAATATAGCTGGTATTTTAGGTAAAACAGATATATTCCAGTCAGCTATAGATGAACTCAATTCAGGCATAGATAAAGTGGATGTTATCTGTGTGAGCGAGACATTTATAAAAGAAGGCTCCATTTCAAATTTAAAAATTAATGCCTATAATATAGCAGCATATTAATGCAGACCACAAGAAAAAAGAGGCGGTACATGTATTTTAGTGGGGTGTAGTCAAGATTATAAAACACTAAATTTAAATGAATAGTCCTCATTATATGACTTTGAATGTTGTGGTATAGAGCTTCCTTATTTAAATATAACAATTATATGTGTATATAGAACTCCTACTTTAAAGGTAAATGGATAAATAGAGAATTTTTTTTGGACAACTTAATATACTTATAAAAAAATACTTAACTCAAAAGAACAAAAAAGTTATAATCTGCGGTGACTGGAATGTCGATTTGATTAAAGAAAATAAAAACAAAAAGGAATTAGTATCTATTTTATCAAATCATAACTTTAATAATCATATAAATAGGCCTACGCGAAGAAAGGCGTGTATAGACTTGATTGCCAGTAATATGGATAATATTGTATAAAAATTGCATATGTTGGCACTCTTTGATCATGAGACAGCACAAACGGTTACGTGTAGTATTAAACCATGCAAAACAATATACAAGAAACCACAAATATGGTTAGAAAAAAAGGGATTACAGTCAGGAAAACATAAATAAATACTGTATGTCGTCGCTGACTTTCGCGGAAATTTTTGATAAAAAAGACACAAACACCGCTTTCAATAAATTCCATTAGTTAATCATCCTGTTCTATAATCTTTGTTTTCCTCAAATAACAATAAAAACAGTAAATACTAAATGGCTAACCAAGGGTTTAAAACGTGCTTGCCTAAACAAACGACGGCTGTACTTAAATTATCGTTATTATAGAAGCAATACATAAAATATATAAAATACAACAAGGTTTTGAAAGGATGTATTGCAAAAGCTAAACAAATAATAAACTTGCGTTATGTTTCACAATAAAAAAATATATCCAAAGCAGTATGGAACGGAATATAATAAAAAATAATTTTAGTATAAGCAATAAAAGATCAGGCATTGTAAATAAAATTAAAACAAATTCAAGGACATATACATACTCAAAACATATAGCTGAATTATTTAATGAATATTTTGTTGGATGGACAATAGATAATTCCAGTTCAAATATAAAAATATCACAAAATGTAAATATCATGTTCTTAACTCCGACAAATGCTAATGATATTTATAAAACCATAAACAGCCTAAAAAACAGGAATGCTACAGGTTATGACGAAATAAACACGAAAATGATAAAAATATGTGCGACTGAATTATCAAGACCACTCAGTCATATAATAAACCTCTCTTTTCAACGAGGTATCTATCCAGATAGATTGAAGTATTCAGTAGTTAGACCATTACACAAAACAGGAGATACTTTAAAAAGTCTAAATATAAAATCCCAGTAGCTGCTATACTATTAGATATGAGCAAAGCATTTGATTTTGTGTCACACAAAATCTTGTTAAATAAATTATATAATTATGGAATGAGAGGTAATATAAACGAGTGGTTGACAAGTTATCTTAAAAATAGACAACAATGCGTTGAGATAACACAATTTGAAGGCAAGAATAAAATAACAAACAAATCAGAATATAAAGCAAATGAGTGTGGGGTTCCTCAAGGTAGTATTTTAGAACCCCTTTTATTTTTATTATACATAAATGATTTCCCTGAGGCAATAAATCAGGAGACTATTCTATTTGCAGACGATACAAGAATTATTGTGAAATGTGAACATGCATCAACATTTCAGAATGATATAACAAAAGCATTAGAAAGGGCTGTAAATTGGCTAGAGGCTAATAATTTAACTATAAACATAAATAAGACACAATTAATAAAATTTCAGACATATAATAGTAAACACATAAATATAAACATTAAAATTAAAGATATCTTAATTAAGGAAGTGGACTCAGCAAAGTTTTTAGGAATATACATTCTGTAACTGGAAAGAACACGTAGAACACGTTAGCAAAAAACTTGACAAATTTGTTTTCGTACTGGGGTATGGGTTGGTACTGTGGGGTAACTCGGTTAATATTATAAACGTTTTTAGAGCACAAAAGAAATGTATCAGAGCGTAAACCATTATTTAAAGAAAAAAATATTTTACCATTACCATGTCTATATATATTTGAAATGTGTTTATTTGTAAAAAGAAATATTGATATATATTCGAAATTAATTCTAAAAATCGAAGACTAAGAATACAAAATAAATTGTTAATACCGACACAGAGACTTCACATGTTTCAAAGAAATTGTTATTGCATGGCCATTAAATTATACAATAAATTGTCTGATAGTATAAAAATATTACCATACGCTCAATTTAAAGCGAAATTGTTTAAATATTTAATTAATAATTGTTTTATACTGTAGAAGATTTTATATGTAACTGTAATTTATGAGAATTTAATATATTTATCTAATATCTTAATTAAATTATAATTTAAAAAATAATTTATATTGGTAGTAGTTTAAATAATTTACACACCTTGAAAGGTAAATATTGCTGAACACTTTATTAATTGTTGTGTTAGATCTGCTCTATGCAATTACCAGTATTTTGTAAATAAACATTTCATTTAATTTCTAAACAAATAATTAAAAATAAATAATAAAAGCATATGCATTATTCAATCGAGTACGCCTTCGCAGAATCGCAAAGGCCGAGATAAAAACCGATTTCGTAAGTTAACTACCTGTTATAATATGCAAATACCATGAAACCGCGCATGCAGTGCGAAATCCGCTACTGGTTCGTACACTGCGCATTTTATTAGTGAATGTAACTTTTCGCTTTAACGTAGCCAGTGATGGAAAACACGAATTTAATTATAATTGTGAAAGTTTCTTTAATTTGATCAATGTTATGGGTACACATTTATACGTAGCATCAGGGTATAGATGATAACTATACTTGAATGCTCAGTTAGTGATGTGTCGCCATCGAGATGGCATGTTTAATACTCGAATGTTGGTTGTTTCGATATATCGTGATCCAATAAAAAGAACTATAAAAACAAAATAATAGTTATTGATATATCATATGATATTAGTCTTTATAAACCAGAGGTCAATATTTCTTTGTTTAAAAATACAATGCGTCAGTTTTTATACAACATAGTTTTTTGAAGTCTTGAAACAGCTTTTTTGTCGGTGTATTTTAAATTAAACGAGATAAGATTTCTGTGATATTAAATCAGTATTTCATTAGTTGTTGCATTACGTGTTTAGTTACATACTTTTATTAAAATGTTTAAAATTTTCGACAGTCCCTTATTGCGACAATACGCTGTTGTTATTATAGGTAAGTGAAGGTAAAAAAATAATAATATGTACCTGTAAATACTCTCAATAAATGAATATTTATTTATATATATAAGTAAGGAACACTTTAGTAAAATTAATTAAGTAAAATTAATTCTGATTCGTTTAATGGAAAAAGATCAGTAATTAAACAACTTTAATGATTTACATATAATCTATCTATAATATAATATATAGGCACATATATTTATGTACCTATTATGACATATTATACCTACTAATCACGCCCTATATACCTACCTACCTATATGGATACTATAATAAACCTTTAAATTATTAATTAACCTATCTACTGTTAAATATAAGTCAGTAGAATAATTTTCGTTAGAAATTAGTTACTATCATTTTTTTACTAAAACTTATGATTATCGTTTATCTTTGACGTATGTAATAAAAACCTGTTTATTTTTTAAATATATTTACCTATGTACATTTAATTTCAAAGTACCTATAGGTATATCTAATGTTCATATTGTAGCATGAGGTCAAGGTCGACTAAAAGTTTCTCATCACATAGCAATTGCACATCCGACGTATCTATAGAAGTAAAATAATCGCCAACGCCATCAATGAAAACTTCGTTCCATCGACGGAGACATTGAAATAGACTAATAATTACCTCCTACTTATTATAATAAATTAATTACTTAATTAGGCACGCAGCTGTCAACAAATCCATTAGCTATTACTAGAGACACACAGAGTTAAAATGGTGTATTTACACATGAGCATTATGTTAGTTATCTCGGCGACCTCGCTCTTATAGTACTAGTGGTTAGCACACAAAAAAAGAATGGGCATGGACTTTATGGTCTACGATAAGCAAAACTTCCACTTCTCATACTTCCATAGGCTACCTAAATATATAAATCAAATGCTTATTTTCCATCATAAAAAATAGAGGTATTCGGATGATAAGATGTAATTTAAAGGTAGTGTAAAAAATGTGCTTAGATAAAATAATAAAAATCATACTTAGACAAAAAATTATCCAAGTCATTATATATTTATATTACTTATACTCACCTGTCAGCTTGCACGTTATAGAAAATATGAATAGGACATACGCACATACATATATTTATAGGGATAAATTAATACATACATCAATATTCTATTTTATTATATTTTTATTCTACATAAATAACATTATGATTATGTTCAGTAAATCGCTTATTCTAACGTCAGAACTTCTTGATAATTGTAACAATTGTGATTAGTTATAAATATAATAAAACAAAGGGCCTATAATACGTAAACAATAGTTATATATTTATTTATAGATTTACCATAATAGACAGCAATACAATATACATATAGTTCATTACTTTTAAAGGTAACAATATGGTAGATATAAATACAGCTGTGTATCTAACACATATGTTTTAATAGCAGTAATTAATAATTTTATGTTAGAATTCCTCAGATGAAATACGAATAATCGCATATACCTGATTCGGTACCCACACTAGGTATACATAGAACCAATTCCATTCCATTGACATTGAAAAGTGCTATATCACACATTATTGTACTCCTCAAAATAATATATTGTTTCATATTTCGTTGCAACGTAAACAATTCATTAAATTTATTAATGCTTGCGCTGCAAAGTGTAACAAATCTATATATTGAAAAAAAAAAAATTAGAATGATATACTTGAGATTTAGTATACGATTTTTACACAAAGGTAGATTTTACATACTCATCTCTATGGCTACCTCCGATTCAGTTGCCATACAAATAATGTTTCGGTCAAATATATAAGAATAATTAGGTGGGTTGAGCGTGTGTGTAATTATTCCAATTTATTAAAAATAGGTAAAAAATATTTGATTGGATCATTCTAAACATATTAATTTAATAACAGTACCGTTAGTACATTGACCTTTTCTCTTCTAAAAATATCTGGAACCTGGGAATTCCTAACTAGCAGTAGCTAGGCACTTGAATAAATTGCCTCTGACCACAGGTCGTATTAATGCCAAATAGACGGGAAGTTGACAATTTTGCATTGCATGTAACAACTATTACTTACGACTACTACAATACAGTGCTGGCATTATTGTAAGTAAGTACTTTTGATAGAGCATAAGAATGGAGTCACATTATTTACATAGTATGAATATAACACATCAGGACAATAATGGAGAAAAGGCAATACAGTAATAGCACACATCCTGTAAGAGTATTCATACATTTTTTATGTTGGTATTAAATGGCTACCTCGTCATGGAAACTAATAGCTAATAGCTAACCGTTACCACCACTAATGAACAATAATATTATACCACATTCTGCGCTATCGACATTAAATTACATTTCTACGACAACGTTAATAAAAATTTTAATTTTGTGTTTCTACCTCCATCCGTGCCAAATGTACAGTCATTTGGCAACATCCTTATTTTAGCAGTCGTTGATTTTTTGGTACATAGGTACATACCTTTGCTTTTCGAAGAAATCCGGTTTCAAACCATAACAATTGCACTTGGGAAAAACCGATAAAAAAAGGTGCTTCTGATAAAATACTGAGACTGCGTGTGCACTCAATAATATTACAATGTACATATTCTTTAGTATTCGGTCTATCTACATTTTTAATGGATAATATATATATATATATATATATAAACACCTCTTTGGGCACTTTGTTGATCACGCCACAACCTAAACACTTGCTGATTCCACCTTTTGCACTGAATAACTTGACCTCTATCGCGTATATCTCAGGCGGTATGGCAACGTCGCATTCTATTTTGCGATGCGGCCATATATATTCGTCGATAGTACGATATACTCGACACTTTTTTTACTAATAATTCGTGACTGAATGGCTCCGAACGGCTAAATTTTTGGTATACACAAAGACTTTTTGGCTCTGAATATATTCCAAAAATCAATTAATTATGTTGATCACTTTATATACTCGTCCTTACTGCGATACTTATTTTCATCCGAATATATATAGATACCGTAACGGTCTATCAATTATGACTTTATTAATTTACTAATGTAGATATTTTATATTCGCAATGCTCCATACATGCAAGCTCCAGCAACGGTGGAGGCAGGGTCCCCCCTGCACCGTACACCGCACCCCGCGCACACAAACAAATTAGATATTTTTTGAATACACAAAGACTTTTTGACTCTGTATATATATTTCAAAAATCAATTAATTGTGTTGATCACTTTATATACTGGTCCTTATTGCGATACTTATTTTAATCCGAATATATATAGATACCGTAACGGTCTATCAATTATGAATTTACTAATCTAGATATTTTATATTCGCAATGCTCCATACATGCAAGCTCCAGCAACGGTGGAGGCAGGGGGAGCACCGTACACCGCACCCCGCGCACACAAACAAATTAGAATAAATTAAATTCATAAGATTATTTATATATTTCGACTGCCTCGGTGGTCACACCGCTTTACATCCGATGGTCGCGGGTTCGATTTCTCGCACGATGCAAACATTTGTACTCATCGGTCATCGATTGTTTTCATCGGTCTGGGTGTTTTATATGTATATTATATATGTATTTACAAAATAAAAATATCTATTTATATCAGTTCAGTATCAGTCTGTGTTAATTGTCCAGGGTTATTTATTATATTTTTATAAACGGTTATCTTTTTCCATCGCACCGCTCGCTATCGACAGTGAATTCATAGAAATGTCACTCTAAAAACAAAAATAGTTTTGTGTTTTGTATTTCAAATACTAAATGCAAAATAGGTATTTTCAAAATACTTTTTAAAAATTAAGTACCTTTTGAATTTTTGTCCAAACCTCAGATATTTTATTTATTTTAGGTATATCAATAATTACATAGTAATATAAAAACAAAGTCGCTGTCGCATCTAACAGTACATAAACAAAGAAAGAAGACTTTGGCTCTGATACCGTAACGGCCTATGAATTATGAATTTATTATACCTAATCTAGATATTTTATATTCGCAATGCTACGTACATTGTAATATCCGCCTCCATTCATTGTAACGGTGGAGGGACTAAATAGTTGAATAAAACTGAATAAGCAGTTGCTCCACTCTATAGGTACTGCGTCGTCGTCGTATGCTGTTCATTTTTTCACTCGTTTTGGCGCCAAGAGAGGGTCACATAGTCGTGGTCAAGTTAAGAACTTATAATTTAATTTTGATAACAATAGATACAAGTAAAAAGTAGGTATTATATTAATGTACGTAAGTACTGTACTTAAAAATATTTATTCTTTACTGTATGTACATTTGAAAAACTTAACACTTAAGGACTTGTACATATACACGTACATACTGCCATTTTCTCTTAAAGACATCCAGAGAAGCACTATTTATCAAATACGCGGGGTGCACCGACCTTTGACCTTATAACACCTGATTCGCGCGTAACGAATTACATTGCTACTTTTTGGTATTTTATAGTGGATATGTCACTATAAAATATTATTATTTCTTTAGATTATGACATAATAACATAGTTTACATGATTTTAAGGGAAACATACGATAAAAAAAAATCCCGTAAAATGTAAAAGATAAAAAATGGTTATTGTTGGTTATCCTTAAGAGATAGACATATACCATCACGGACTTTTTTGTTGACCTTATTTTGATACATCTCAAAGCACTAGACAACACGCATTTTCATTAAACAGTATTGTATTTTTTTATTTCTTTAACTTTAATGCACAAAAAAATTTGTACATGTGGCGGACTTAATATTTTGCCGCGTTATTTACCAGGCAACCATGAGTGGTGCAGCGAAAGATTATTGGCGGTGCACTAATATAAATAAGAAATGTCAAAAAAAGATTTATAAAGATAAGCAAAATATACATTTCTATAAAAAAATAACAATATACATACATAAATATATATCTAAATATAACCCATAAATGTATAAATATTATATATAAGTAAATACATAATGATCCGATAATCAAATTATAAGTACAGTCTCAAA